ATGCTATGCAAAGTCACAAGATATCCCAGTTTACTGTGGAAATACGGCCAGTGCACACTGACAATCTGTCTTACTGGGATATCAGTACATCTTCCTATGCTAGGACGAGTCCCTAGTAGGCTTCCCTTACCTTCTCATGAGGACTTCCAGGTCAGCCACCTCCACTGTATTCCTCCCTGCATGCTGGCTGTAAACTTCCAGATCACTGCTCAGCTGCTTAAAGTATCGCTCAGAGCTGAAGGAGAATGGAGGAAGAAGATAAAATGAGGCTGTGGAGTATATGAAAACAGGCTATTCCCATTTGCCCAGGCTGTGCTGCACTACAACTGATCGCAGCACAACATGGCCTGCCTGGGACAACAGAAAAGGAGGAGCACCCCAGACCAAGGATGGCTTCTCAGCCTGGGTTCCTTAGACTCCCAGACATGCTGAATATGCCATAGATCTGTAAGAGGGGTACATTCAAAAATCAAACCCTGTTTGCAGATTTCGCAAACATGCAAACAGAACAGGGGTTAACACAAGTCACAAATGAAGATTGAAGAGTATACTATTAGCTACTATGGTTAAACCATTCAACCAACCCATGGATTTTCCTAGGAAAATAACATTGTCTACTGATTCAAAAACCTGAGAAAACCTGGATTTAGTCATAACACAGCTCAGCTCAACAACTTCACCCCATTCAGCCTGACACACACACCATTTTCCAGTGGCATCCTGCTCACTGAGAGTGCTAATGACCTCAGTAAGTTAGAATAGTAAGTGGTGCCATTTCTACCAGTTTGGACAAAAAACAGAAGCTTCTGCAAGACAATGATGGTCACCAACACCCAGAGAGTGACTACGGGCACCCAGCAATTTCTGTCCCTTTTCTAATGGGCTTTCCTCCTGCTTTCTCTCCAGCTGAAGTAGGTAACGGCTGAGAGAGGCTTGTCAGCACACGTGCTAAGAGGTTCACTTGTTTCAAGAAAGAAAGAAAGAAAAAAAAATGTTGAGAAAAGGGGAAGGAGAAACATTTGCTCACCATTTTTGAACAATCCTGAATGCATCTCTGGTCACCGGCATTTTCACATAATGGCTAAATATCTGCTTTATCAAACTGCTTGCTAGTTCAGGCTCACGCTTTTTCCTCTGCGATACTCCTGAACTCTTGGGAACCGGCTTAGCCCACAATGGCTGCAGGGGAATAATCCTAAAGCAAAAAGCAGAAACGATATCCCAATTTCCACTCAGTAGACAAGTGCGAAATCAGAAAATAGACATGGAATTGCAGGCTAGCACACACAAAACCCACA